GGACAGAACATGAGACAATACAGTAACAAAACAAAACACGAGGGGGTCAAGGGCCCTGCTCTTTCCAGCTTACAATCTAGGAGAATATATTTCAATGAGCCTAGTTTATGCCATCACAGTGCCTTAAAAAAAACCCCAGCATGCAGCATTTTTTGTTCAATGAAACACATGATACTGCGCTGAAAACCTATGTAAATACAACTTGGTAAAAAATACAATAAATAATGCCAAAAAAGCACATTACAAATGAATGTAAACATGCGTGGGGATTGCAGTGTAAACAAGCCCTTATTGTACAGTCGAGGTTGACTACTTGCATTATAAATATATTTTTTATAAATTTGGCCCTTTCCTTTTGGATATCACTTTAAATATTGTTATTTGCGATTAAATGTTCAAGGGACACAATTTGTGGTCATAGAAACCACTTATGGACGTTTTCCAACAGCTGTCCTGAAGTTTGCAGGTTGTTATATAGATAAATAATATCCATTAGGATCTATCATAAGGGGTTGCTATGGAGATGTATCTATGTTCTAAATTTAGCAGCTAACAAGTAAGTTAAATCAAAGAAAGGCACATTCACACATATACATTACACACATAAGCAGGTTTTCTGCCTGGAGGGCACACAACCAATTTAAAACAACAGGATTTCTGGACCTTCTCCTGCAGGTCAGACAAATTGGAATAATAGACTTCATTATGAATAAGTGATCTGGTTGTTTGGCTGAGATTCAGATGAAAATCTTTTCAGTTCCTTCCTCCTCCCTCAAAAAAGATAATGCTAGCAATTACTATATTTCTCTGAACACATTTAATTGACAGCAAAATAGCTAATACTATACTTCTGCATTTACAAAATTCAAAGGTGCAGAATACAGAATCTTTTTTCCTTCTATCCTGCCCACAAATCATGCTCCCCCCCCCTTCTAATCCAATATTCTCAGAGTTTTCCCCCCCACACATTTATTATTGGCTGTCATGGCAAATATGAGATCACAACCCTGCCCATCCTCACCTTACTGGTCTTAAAACAAACCTAATTCTGCCTGTCTGGCCTGCCTTGTGCTTGGGCTTAACTATACCACCTGCAGGATTCAGTACACCATGCTGTTTTATAGGCAAGGGATATGGGAGTTTATTTACTTTTCTGGGACAAGGGGACTCTTTTGACAACTGAAGGAAAAGAGATTTAACCTCAACTTATAGAAAGGCTTTTTCACAGTAAGAGCTGTGAAAATATGGAATAGACTCCCTCAAGAACTAGGTCTGCCCAGCTCAGTAGATTTATTTAAAAAAAGAGCTTAATTTTAGTGGCTGTAGCACTGAAGATAGTACCACCTTGTTGTTTTGATGAATTTTGACTTTATTTGAATTCCTTCCTAAATGCACAAAATATAACTGAAAAACAAAAAGGTGCTACAACCCAATTAGGAGTCCATCTCAGCGCCTGGGCACGATCCACAGCTGCTGTACTGTGAGACATGAATAGGAAAAAAGATCTGCACAACCTCTTTATTGAAACAAGCACAAAAAATGGCATAAAAAATACAATAGGTTGATGATGTGTTTTGGCTAAAAAGCCTTAGTCATGACCCATAATGTAAAAGAACAGACAAGGGCGCACTCTCATCGTGCATTACCGTGGTATAACACGTATTTATTGAATAAAAAGAGGATATATACTCACAAACCAACGTGATAAAAGGCACTAAAAGTAGTCCACAAAGACAGTCACAATGCATCTGTGTCTAATGATGCAGATAGGCTGACGCGTTTCGGGAGCTGAACCCCCTTCCTCAGAGCTCATAACCCATAATGTAGCATGGAACATGAGAAATTATAACCATATATATATAAGGTGGTAGAAAGGAAGGCCGAGCCCATCAATCAGTTGATCATCTTGATGACAAAATACTCAACAGATGCAATGCACAGAAAACAGTCTGGATCAAAATCACCACACAGAATATCATTCAAAATAAATAAAAAAAATTAAAACAAAAACACACACTAATAAAAGCTTATGGAGGGTAGGAAGGAGACCTATATCCTCATACAGAGAATACAGAATTAACAAAAATAAGGAGAAAAGTCCAGGGAAAGCAAGAGGGGAATCTATTGTAGATGTAAATCCAGATCCCACCTAACATTTAATGTGGATCTGGTCTGTAATTTAAAGATCCACCACGCTTCCCTACTGTAAAGTCTCCTTTCTCTATCTTCCTCTCTCGGCAGATGTGACAGTCCCTCAATGCAATTGAACCTGAAATCTGAGAGATCATCTCCATGACAATCCCTAAAATGACAGGGTACATTTGAAATGTGTTTAGCATTAGAATTATTAGTGTCACAGAAGTGTTCTCCAATTCCAGTTCGTAGCATCCGTGTGGTACTGTAATTTACACGCTAAACAGGTAATAAGGTAAATAATGAAATTCGTGCCACAGTTAATGTACTGTTTTTAATAGGAAACTCCTCTCCGATGTGAAAGATTCCCGTGTTGTGTTTAAGTGGCAGTATCTACAAGTAGTCTTATTGCAAGGATAACTACCTAAATGCACAAAATATTCCTGGATTTTAACAATTAAAGGTAACAATACCAGAGATTGTTGGTTTAGGGAATATCCAATTGCCTTATGGATGTTCAGGAAGGATTTTATTTTTTCTGCTAGAGCAAATTGGACTATGATTTTTTTTTTTTTTTTTTTTTTTTTTTAATGTTGCCTCCTCTGGATCAACTGTGGATATAGGATTCTGTATATAGAGGATTTATTTTTATTCATTTTTTTTTTTTTTCTCTTGGTTTAACTAGATGGATTTGTGCCTATTTTTTTTTTTCTCTTGGTTTAACTAGATGGATTTGTGCCTTTTTTTTTTTTTTTTTTTTCAACCTGACAAACTATGTAACTATGGTCTTTATGGTGTCTCTTATTGGAAATCCTGCTAAATAAAGTACTTTAAGACCATAACGTCAGTTATCTACTTTACGACTACATGCCTGCAGCGTACAGCAGATGGGTGGCTTCTGTAGGCAAAGCAATGTATGGGTATATTGTTGCCTACTTCTGGGTTTCGGACATGCTCCTCTACCCCGCCAGCGGTTGTACGCAGCGGGAGCCTGTCAGAAATCTCTGATCTGTCGGTTTTCGCATCCCTGGGATGAGCAGGGATGAGAAATTTAGAGATTGTTTAGTAAAAGCAGCACACTTTACACACATTACACATAGTAAGGCGGACAGTTAACTTCTTGATTGCCCTAGATGTTAACACCTTCCCAGCCAGTGTCATTAGTACAGTGACAGTGTATAGTATTATCACTGTATTATTGTCACTGGTGATGTTAATGTCAGATTACCCGCTGCAGTCCCATTATAAGTCGCTGATCACAGCCATTAATAGTATATTTAAAAAAAAGTTCCACTGCATAAATACCATAGTTTGTAGACACTATAACTTTTATGCAAACCAGTGTACACATCAAAGACGTAGCATAATATATTTTAGCCAAAATGCATGAAGAAATTTGTTTTGATTTTATTTTTTTTTTGTATATGTTTTATAACGTAAATGTAAATCTATATATATATTTATTTTTTCAGTCTTTTTGTTTATATCGCAAAAAATAAAAAAAACCCAGTGGTGATCAAATACTACCAAAGGGAAGCTATATTTGTGTGGAAAAAAAAAATTATATAAATTTTGTTTGGGTACAGTGTTGCATGACCATGCAATTACCAGTTAAAGTAGTGCAATGCTAAATAGCAAAAAATGGCCCGGTCATGAAGGGAGGTAATCCTCCAGAGCTCAAGTGATTATTGAAGATGGTGTATTAGGTGGAGACAGGCTACCTTGAACTTACAATCAGATACGCCATATTGAAAGCTATACTATGTGGCATCACCTAGATGCCATATGTAACTACAAGGAAATCTGTTAAGGGGGTTCTGGTGGTGACATTATCTACCCTAAAGTTAAGTATAATAAGTTGAGCTGTTGTGACATTACTCACATACAGACCCATGCCACCACAATCAGGACTCCTCTGGTTGGCTGATTCACCTATGCTACTTTTCTCCCCTTGTCTTATTATACCCATTTGTTTTGGTCATGGCAATTAGATTGATGATGCTCATAATCTGCCCACTCTTTGACTAACAACACCTGTAGTGCCCCCCCACCCCCCAAAAAAAAAACCTAACACCGTGGGCACACTTTAGCTAGATAATTTACAAAAGCTTAAAGTGTTACTAAACCCATAGCAGTAAAATGATTTTGTATATGCAGTAAAGCATGCGTGTTATACTCACTGTGGAACCTAAGGGGTTAATCCTCTGCATTGTGTAAAACTGCTGTTTGATCCTGTCTTCTCTGATCCTCCTTCTTCCAGTGGCCCCCTCTTATCTCCTAATAAGATGTGTGGAAAATGTATCCTGTGGAGTCACTCTGCACATGCTCAGTTTGCTGTGTATGTTAGAGAGGTTTTTTTTCTTGGGAGAATGCATGTGATCAGCACAGGGCCAGTCAGCACTGTCCAGATGGAGGTCAGGGGTTCTGCATCCTCCTAGAGCAAAATGAAAACTCCTCCTACAAGCTTTCACCAGTGCCCAGCTGGACACTGATAGAAGTCACAAGACTGCTCTAGCTGCTGATGAGAAAAAGTATTTAGCAGTTTATATTTACTAAAATAATTGCATTTCCATGTTCTGTGTACTGTGGTGAACCAGATATAGTGAATACAGGGTCCTGGGTTTAGTAACACTTTAAGAAAACATTATTTCAAATCTAGTTTCAAAGATTGCAGCAGTGAGTGGATTAGCAGTATTCTACTATAAACTGTCCATAAAAACAGTCCAAATAAGATACAATTGAAGATTGTTGTATGGCTTATTTGTTCTGTAACTCGTCACCCTGTGAAGTAAATACTGTGCTCAAATGGCCATGTGCACTTTGTTTCTGACTGAAGATACTTAATCGTCCTGCTCTTTGTTTTGTAGCCTAAAGCTCCACGCAATAAAGGTAAACAAGAAAAGAAAGTCATCCATCCATACAGTAGAAAAGCTGCTCAGTTAGCACGGGAAGGCCATAAACAGGACAGACAGAAAAGAAAAGTAAGTTTTCTTTTATTAGACTCTGTAACAAACACAGGCCATTGTGGACATAGAATATATTGTGGTACAAATCAGGATCCCGTGTTAATGAAGAGGGGACAATAGACATTGGCAGTATACTGTATATATTCTACATTGTTTGATACAGAGAACAGAATATGCAGTGGGGAGCAGTATAATATGTACGATAAGCAGCATAGTGTAAAGAGAGAAGCAGTGTATAAAATAAAGCAATTTCAGCAGCATTGAGAATATTGTATAGTACATTGTATCTAGTCCCTCACATGCTCCTGCATGGAATTTCAGTGATCGGCTGGAAGGGGTAAATGTGAAACAATAATAGATTGAATTCATTTTATATAACCCACTGTGAAACCCCTGCTGACCGTTTCGGCAGAACTGAGCTGTGAAAGGAGGGGGTGGCAGCAAAGGCACGTGGTATAGTGTGCAAGTGTGCGTGCCATACTTACATATTATGGCAAGAAGAAGCTCTCTGCAAGTGATGACAGCTCTGTGCTCCCTGTTGCCACTGCTGCCCTGTTCCCTATTTCTTCTTTCATTAACAGTGCTCTTAGCTGAACTCTTCACATTTTGCAGATGCTAAGAGTATACACTACACTGAATGTGTGCTGCATTCTTAGTACAGTAAAAATAAAACTGCTAGTAAACCGGTAAATAAGTACTTCTAAAAAAAAATACCTACGATCAGCTTCCTATTGTGGCACACCAGTGAGCTAGACACTTGCTGATCGCTGTCCAGCAGAAGGGTTCTGTCAGAATCCAGAAAAGGAGTCTCATTGGTGATAACAGCGAAAGAGGGCCCTTTCGGAGACAGATCAATGCTGACACTTCAACATTACTGAATTACTGGTCACTTGCATCCGGAAATGGCACCGGCAAAGGGACCCAGAAAAAAAAGAGCTTAGGCAAGTAAAACATGTTTTAGAGCAGGGGTGTCATACTCCATTTCATCGCGGGCTGTATCAGCATCATGGTTGCCCTCAAAGGGCCGGTTGTATCTGTAAGACTAGTTGTCCAGAGCACCCTACTCCCCCATTACAACAGATGTCAAGAATCCCCCACCCTTCCTAAGATCACCGTGCACCCCTTTTGGGGGCAGAGCTGGAAAGCAGAAAATGCAGGGTTTGGAGGAGGACCAGAGGAGGAATGGAGTCAGTTACCAGAGTCTTCTGAATGCTGAGACCAGGGGAGGCAGGGATGAGGGGGTGCTGCAGCTGCACTGAGAGGTGCAGGATTTGGCAGAGGAGTTTTATTCTCCTCTTTGCTGCCAATACAAGGTGGGGGTGGAGACAAGGGGGTACCTGCAGGAGAGGTGTAAGGACCACATGAAATGGCCGGATTCAGCGCACGAGCCTTGTGTTTGATACCTGTGCTATAGAGGGCAAGAGAAAACATTTTAGCTATATTGTAAAGCGCTGAGCAATCTGTTGGCACTATATAAATCCTGTATAATAATAATAACTGAAGATTGACTTTAAACTTTACTGTTCGTCAAGACAGTCTGTAAGTATTGCAGCAATGAGTCTAACCTTGTTCGTTTTATTTCCATGCATTACTTTTAATCCCAATGAGTTGCTTGTAATACGCAAACATTTTTATATTTTTAAATAAATTATATTTGGATATTTATATTTTTTTTCTTCTCTTGTAAAGGTTAAATAATGAAAAAGCCTTACGATTAGGTATAATTGGTGAGTAGAACCTTATCTCCCAAACTGGTCTGTTGATGTGCTATTAGGATTTGATGAAATCAGATAACATCATACATTTAGGGTAATGCATAATCTAATGTAAATTGTAAGAATTTACAGAGGCCATAAAAAATTCATGAGGCCTCAAGCTAAGGTTAGTGGGTTCCTAGGTAAATAGTAAATAATAATATCCTTAGTAACCTTAGCAGGTAGGATGTTACTCCTTATAAGATGCCAAAATTGACCAGGTAACAAGACCCGACAACATTTTAACAGCCACAGTCTGACAGATGATGATAAAAATGGATGGTGACAGGCATTACTGAAAAGGCTTATAAACTTGCAGGCAAAGCCTAGCCTTGGACAGCAAGACCCAAAGCAATGTAAATTTTGAAAACCTTTGGCTACTTTCTGACCAATGATTTCCTAAATGCGAGTGGGGTTTTGGGGAGGAGCAAAATTGTGACAGTAGGACTAACTAAACCGTTTGACAAGTGCCAGATAGTGTATACAAAATATTCTGATGTTAGAATGCATTTTTTATATAGGTATAACTTAGGCGCTTTACAGTGTTTATGTATCTGCTTGTACAAACTGGTATGTAAGTTATTCTTAAAAAGGATCTTCAGTACTCCACCAAACAAGTACTGTAGCTGCTGACTTTTAATTAAAGGGCATTTACCTGTCCAAGGATCCAGTGCTGACACACTCAGGTCTTCGGGTCCCTGGCGTTGCCATATTTACTTTGGGAAGCTGGCTGTGACTCCTTGTGGCTACACAACTTGCTTCCCACTGTGCATGAACAAGCTGCGCTTTGTGAATGGTTCTGCAACCTCCTCCAGGAGTGAAGACTGGGGACAAAGAGGATGGGGGGGAGCTGAACTTCCGCACGGATCCCCTGGGCGATCCTAGCTTAAGTAGGTGCAAGTATGCCCTGAAAGGTGAAAACTAGGTGAAGTTCCTCTTTAAACTCACTTGCTATTGGTATAGGCATTGCCAAATTCATGTTTAAGTAGCATTTGTTGCTTCTCCCAGTCACCAGTGTCCCATTGATAAATGCTGCCATATTTTGAGTATTGGTTGTGTTTATGTGACAAAATCTCACCTTTAGGAGCAGCTTCATAAGACAAGGTATGGTGTTTTTTCTCTTCTACTTCCTTCTTGATTTCTTAGGTGTTTTCTGCTGGTACGTACACTTTAATTTTCAATGCAAACTGCTAAATACACAGATGAAAACTTTTTTTTTTTTTTAAACTATTTGTTTTCTTGTCAATCCAGTCCTAAAATTAACACAGCTCTGTCTGGCAGGACAGAAGACTTGATTTTTCTCTGCTGTAGTTTAGGTCTAAATAGATTGAGGTATCTGTAATGCATTTTTTTTTAGGTTCGAATGGCAGCTGGGTAATCTAAAAATGCTAGTAGTATTTATTCCTTGAGCTATGAGTGCTGAAACTGAACATTCCAGCTAGTGCACTGTGAAGGGGTGTGTCAGCCCCCCCCCCCCCTCCACATCTTTTGTTCATTCACAGAAAGCCTTGTAATCTTTGCATTGAATACAAGGCATTCTGTGAATGAACAATGGGAAAGAAGGATTGGGTAAACTGTCAATTCCAGTGCCAGAACAAAAACACTTTAGCAAAAGCACTTTATTTCCTGGAGTTCCCCTTTAACTCCTGCTTTGTTACAGCAAAATCAAAGGCCAAGTATATTGCTCTGCAATCTGACATCAGCTGTAAGTAGTGCCTCTCCATACAATTTTCGAATGGGCAATAGCTGTATGGGATTCAAGGCTAGTTACAACTGTTGCCATGGTTCCATTACTTTACATTACTTATGTGCACACATTTAAAATGTCAGTCATTGGTTTTGTCAACAGTGTTGGGGGGGGGGGGATTGTAGTTATTCTTTATACAAATGATATCATTATTGTATTAAGATGCAGTTCTTCTCCAAATTATATGCAAACATTTAGAAAAATAGATGTAATTTTCATGCTGTTGTGAGATGTAAAGGAATAAAACCTATACATCACAGCCAAGTGCGCATCATAAAATGACTTTCTGCTTGCAGCAATGATTAATATATTATATCAGTGTTGTTAACGAAGTCTAAAGACAGCAGAACAAAACTGAAAAGGGCTCTTTAGACATATCATTTGTGTGACCTTAAGCTTTCTGTAGACAAGCTACTTTCATGCTGGAACATAGTTAAAATTTGCAGCTCAAAAAATCGGATCCAGATAATAAATCCTACCAGGAATACTAGGACAGCAATTATTGCTTTCTTGGGAAGCTAACCATAAAATTCTGTTATTGTCAGCAGCATACTAAATAGTGTTCTTCAACATTTTCCTTCAGGCAGAGCCTATTATATATTGTATCTTCAATGCTGCCTTTACAATGGGTCTGTTATCCTTGAAGAAGAAATCTGATCTAATTAAATAGTTGCATACTATTTTAAAGTAAAACAAAGTGATACATTTACAGTCTTTCTATTTAGGCCCCATTCACACTTGCGAATGGAGCTGTTAGCATTTACTATTGGGTGACCAAGTGGGTGTTTCCCCTGATTAGCAGCAGGTGGAAACCCCATTGACAGCAATAGGAGGCTGACAACTCCCACTGCTAATCGCGGCCATTATATGTGAGCTGCCACGTTTAGTTGTGTAAGCTATGCAGGTAAGGGGCATCTGTAGATTAAAAAGCAAGCTGTGCAGCTTTGACCAAAGTTGAATAATGCCTTTGCTATAGGTGTAGGCCATTTACGTACAGTACTGTGCAAAAGTTATAGACAGATGTGAAAAAAGGCTGTAAATTAAGAATGCTTTCAGAAATAGAAGTGGTTAATAGTTTTTTTTTTTTTTTTTTTAATAATTGCCAAAATAGAAAGTAAATGAATAGGAGAGAAATCCAAATCAATATATGGTGTGACCACCCTTTGTCTTCAAAACATCAAACATCAGTTTTTCTAGGTACACTTGTGCCTCTATGTTTTGAAGGCACTCAGCAGGTAGGTTGTTACAAACATCTTGTAGAACTAACCACGGATCTTCTGTGGATGTATGCTTCCTCAATTCCTTTTTTCTCTTCATGTAATCCCAGACAGATTCGATGATGTTGAGATCATGGCTTTGTGGGGGCCAAACCTTCACTTCACTATTTCTACCTTTCCCTGTTAAAGCAGTAGTAAAGCTAGTGTTTTTTGAAAAATTGCTGTCAGGAAGGGTATGTATGACAGAAGAGGCCCCAGTTGGTCTCTGCTGTCATAAATGCTTCCACCTGCCTGCAAGAGGTGATGTACAATGAGCCATGCATGCCCAGCTCAGCGAACATTTACAGCCCCAATCTGTGCTGCGGAAGTGTGACTCCTGTGCGCATGCATGGGAGTTGTGTCATTGCAGTTCAGCCATTCAAGCAGCCGAAGCACTAAACTCTGATGGAAGCACCTGAGACCTGCTGGATCGATCACATCACATCACTGCGCTGGAGGGCTCTTTTTGACAGGTTAGTATGGATATTATGCTGTGCATACTAAATTATGGGAACTTGGGGAACAAAAAGAAGACATTACAGCGGATTAACTACCTCTTTTAAGGCACTCTCTACCAGATCCATTATTACTTCATGGAATTTTCAGCATCAGGCACCTGTTTCTCATATTTGCAAGGCGGCCACCTATTTTTCTGTTTGTACAGTTAAGAGGATATTCAAGCCTCATTTTACCCCATTTTTTAGTGTAAGCTCCTACAAACTGTTCTCGGAGTTCAGACGAGCCTGTCCCTACTTTGTTGATAGATGGCCATGTTAGCATTTTTTTGCTGTTGCCCACCCTTTAATTGGACTGCTTTTTGACATCCCATGGTTAAAGCGTAACTAATGTTCCAATACTTACCGCTGCTTCAATGATCTGAGCTCCATTGCTAGCATCTTCTCAGCTTCTTCCGAGTTCTGGTCTTCAGCCCCAGCTGATGCAGGGGGTGTCACTCCTGCGCATGTGCCCCTGGGTAGCGTCATTCCAGCATACGGCACTGTGCTGGAGTGTAAATTGAGCTGTGCGTGTGCAGCTCAGTATACATTCTGCAGATAACAGACAGGTATGTTTATTTTTTTGCAGAAGGGAAATCTCATTCATCTTCTGCAATAACGAGCCTTCCTGCTCACAGTGTTTTTTTGAAGATGAAGAGTATAGTTACACTTTTAACTTTCCACTGTACAACTTAGGAAATAGGATTTTCTACTTACCCTGTATAATCTTTTCCGTGGAGTACAAGGCCGCATGTTGAGCACCAGGGCCATATACTGTATGTATGCTTGAAATTTTATAAACACTGATGTTCTGACTGCTTGTATGATTTTTTGAGGCCCTAAAATGCCAGGACAGTACAAAGACCCCCAAATGACCCCTTTTTGGAAAGTAGACACTTCAAGGTATTTAATGAGAGGCATGAAGAGTATTTTTTTCTTGCTCATTGTTTTTTTTTATGGAGTAAAGATATACCAAATATAACAATAACGTTTGTCATTCAGGTGGTAGTGCTATACAAAAGCATAACAAGTAATTGATATGAATAAAGTACACAAACAGAACAGCACTAAAGTGCTATAAAGAGCAGAGCTGGCACAGAAAAAAAAGAGGAATTTTTTTTTCATTTCATTTTAACAAGTTATTTCCCATACACAGCATGGGCATACTTAGTTACACCCCAAAATAAATTATTCTTCTCCCAAGCATGGATATATACCATATGTGGGAGACATTTTCGCAGCCTAGCTACATAGAGGGCCCAAAATCCAAGAAGCATCTTTAGGCTTTTGGGAGGGCATAAACTACGTATCAGATTTCATAACTACCTATCACATTTTCATAGGTCCTGAAGTGTCAGGACAGTAGAAACACCTACAAAATGACCATATTTTGCAAAGCAAATAACCCATGGTATTTGGTCAGAGGCATGGTGAGTCTTTTGAATATCAGATTTTATGCCACAAGTGTTTAGAAAA